CATGTACTACCTTGAGGTTGCCAAGCCCCAGTTTGACTGGGACAAGAAGGTGTTGAAGCACGAGTTGCCTAATGGGAGGACCGTTAGACTGGCTAAGTATGGTCTGTACGAGTTTGTGGTGATGCCCTTTGGCCTTTGCAATGCGCCGGGTACATTTCAGCACGCCATGAATAGGATCTTCCATGACTACTTGGATAAGTTCGTCGTCGTGTACCTCGACGATATACTTATCTTTAGTAGAACTGTCGAGGAGCATGCTCAACATGTAGACAAAGTACTTCACTCCTTCGGCAGCACAAGTATAAGATAAACGCAGAGAAATGCGAGTTCGGTCGCACTCAAATCTTGTATTTGGGTCATGAAGTATCCGCGGATGGTATTAGGCCCGAAGATGCTAAGGTGGCTAGCATGTGTGACTGGCCACGACCCCCGTCTGCGACTGAGGTCAGATCATTCTTGGGGATGTGTGGTTATTACCACAACTTTGTAAAGAATTATAGCACGATCACATCTCCCTTGACTGATCTAACTCGACTTGACACACCATGGGACTGGACCGACGAGTGTGAGGCAACTTTCAAGCATTTGAACCATACTCTCACGCACCATGAGGTTTTCATGGTACCCGACCCGCAAAGGCCATTTGTTGTAACCACTGACGCAAGCCAATATGGGATTGGAGCATTGGTGGCTCAGCAGGAAGGGAAAAAGTTGAGACCGATCGAGTACATGAGCAAGAAGATGCCATCAAAGAAGTTGGCAAAGTCCACCTACGAGAGGGAACTCTACGCTCTCTACAAGGCACTTGTCCACTGGAGGCACTATCTGTTAGGAAGGTTCTTCTACTTGAGAACTGACCATCAGACCCCCAAGTGGATCAAGACCCAACCAGTTCTCTTCGATGCACTCAAACGCTGGATTGAAGTCATAGATCAGTATGACTTCAAACTAGACTATGTGAAGGGAGAATACAACAAGGTTGCGGACGCGTTGTCTAGGAGGGCAGATTACTTAGGTGCGCTGATTTATGAGTTTGGCTTATCTGACAACGTGACTCGATCTTTGGGGGAAGCCTACAAGGAAGATCCCATCACAATGAACATCATCAACAAACTTCGGGCTAAAGACGAGGCCACCACTGATGAGTTTGTGATGGTGGATGGGTTGCTCTTTCTTGAGAAGGCAGGGCTTAAGAGATTAGTTGTTCCATCTAGGGAAGATTTGCGTAGTTTGTTTTTAGGAGAATGCCACGCCGCAATGGGACATTTCGACTATAAGAAGACTAGTGCTAATTTAGTACAGCGATTCTGGTGGCCTAACATGCTAGACGATGTAAAGAAGTATGTAGAGACCTTTCAGGTCTGTCAGCGGGATAAGCCGCGGACTCAAGCCCCGCTTGGGTTACTCAAGCCTCTACCCATTCCTGCTGGCCCAGGGCAGAGTATTTCCATTGACTTCATGGATACTCTCGTGACCAGCAAGAATGGCAAGAGGCACATCTTCGTCATAGTGGATAGGTTCACTAAGTACGCTAGACTAATCGCCATGCCAGAGACTGCCAGGACTGAGCACGTCATCAAGTTGTTCATGGTACTGGGTGCCTGACAAAGACAATTGTCAGTGACAGAGATGTACGTTTTACAAGCGAGATGTGGAAGAAGGCCGCTGAACAGATGGGCAGCCAACTTCAAATGACTTCTGGGAATCATTCCGAAGCAAATGGGCAGGCTGAACAGATGAACCGAGTGGTGCAGCATCTGCTGAGGCATTACATCAAGCCCAACCAGGATGACTGGGATGAGAAATTACCTCTGATCGCCAGCCTGTGCAACAACGTTGTACACAGCACCACCGCATCAGTCCTAATCAACTGCATCTGGGATGGAAGCCTAGATTTGCTCTACACTTCCTCCTGCCTGAAAACTGACCTGCTGCAACTCCTGGAACCATTAAATTTGGAGTCCAGTATGAGAAATTGTTGCAGCAGACTGTCGAACATATCAAGAAATCTCAGGAAGCTATGATTGCTTCTGAGAACAAACGTGGCCGACAGTCCACATTTCAGGTAGGGGAACGTGTCTGGGTCAAGGCTAGTGAGTTGGGACAGGAGTTTGGCATCTCTAGGAAACTAATGCCTCAGTATTTCAGTCCCTGGGAAGTCTTAGACATAGTGGGAAATGATTTGGATGGTCCCTCGTACGTCATTCGTATCCCTGGTCACTTACGCACTTACCCTGTCTTTCACGCCTCCAACCTTGCACCCTTCGCTGAGATAGCACAGTTTCCATCACAGAGATCTATGCTGCCCCCAACCATGGATGGCCACGTGGACGTCGACGACATCCTGGATCACAGAGACACGCCTGTCCCCAAGCCACCTGGCAGGGGAGGACCTCCCAAACTTGTGAGGGAGTACAAAGTACATTTCAGGCATCATACTGATCCGAAGGAAGATCGATGGATTTCAAGGGAGGAACTTGTCAAGACAGCTCCTGAGATCGTGGCAGATTATGATAAGAAACTGAAGGGGAAGGCACCAGCCTGAAGCATCTCAGTGGACTTTTGAAGCTAAGGGGGATGGAATGTGAGGAACAAGCCCTCAAGGGACCCTATCAGACATCACATTGTTTTGGGCTAAGGCCCCCAGCAAGCCAAAGTGCCCGCCCTAAGTGAAGGCGGACCTGAATATTCGAGAGGCAAAATTCGACATTTCCATATGTGGGTATTCAGGCTCTCGCAGCACGCCAGTTGGTTGAGTAGACGCGTGAGCCTCACATTTCTGCGTCATACAGTTGGCCCAGGCCCGACAATTGCACCTGGGCACACATACACAAAGTAGGGCCGATACGTTGGGAAGCAGGCCTTCGACCTTGGCAAAAGCAGTAGTGCCGACGCACCTGCTTGGGAGCCCTGTCCAGAGACTTGGGTCGTGCCTAACTGTAAAGGGCCCAGGCCCTCAATTGTAGTCTCGGGCCTGGGCGCAGGGTCTGGTAGCTTCCAGCCAGGCCACACACAGCATCCAGGAGGCTGCCACTTCCACAAAAGGAGTGAGGCAGCCTAGGCCAGGCATTCTGGCCAGTGTTGGCAAGCGGAAGTGCTGTTGCGCTCTCGCTTGATGTTGCGCTGCTGCTAAGGGCGCTGACGGGGCGCGTAGAGGTGAAGTGGGGCGCTGCAGTGCAGCGGGGCGCAGGCGGCCATAGCCGGGCTGCTGGGCGCCAGGGGGTAATGCGGGCGATTGAGTGGTCTTTAGGGAAGGAGGCGAGTGTGGGGTAATCAAGGTCTGATTGAGGGTGACGAGATACGTACCTGGTACATGAAGAGAGGTCGACGATGGTGTTGGCAGTCATGTACATTGGTCTTCGTGAGTCGAAGTGATCTTGTTGCGTGAACCAGCTGTAGGTAGGATAGTCGGGTAGAGTAGGCTGGGCGCTGAGCGCCAGACAGAGCAGAGCAACTTTGGATATTGTGTTGGTGTGGCCTACGGGCTTGAACATTGGCTCGTTACTTCATTGTATTGCTCTATATGGATGGTTTTCTCGGTGCATTTGTACTCTCTGCTTGGGACACGACTACTTGGACAGCTGTGTGATTTCCAACTTGGTTTTATGTATATCGCTCACACTCATATTCCTTGCAGAAGTAACAATTTTCTGAAGGTTCAAAGAAGTTTCCTGTTAGTTACAGAATCGAGGAAAGAATACTTAGTTGGTCAATATTAGGGTAGTGGTGGATAAAAATCACACTTTTAGTACTAATTAGGACAAAATGCAATCAGACTCACTTTCATTCATACTTTTCATGCATGTAAACAGCAGCGCAGCAAACTGGCGAGATGCGCCCACTCAAAACTCAGAGATATGGCATCCAGATATGAGTTCGCTTTCACTTGGCTTTGGCGACTCAGTGCCCAAACAACTCACTGTTCACATACACCGGATCACCCTGGATATCCCACACGCGACTCTCTGAACTCGCACACACACACACTCGCTACACACTAACTCTAGCTATGGCAGCTATGGCCGCAACTACCCTATCGCTATGCTACGCTCCTTCTCTCTCGCCCACTTCAGCTTCGGGCTCACTGCAGACCTCCTTGCACAAGTCGTTGTGGCAACGCTTCCGCATGGCTCACGCAGGAATGAATGAATGGCTGGGCGCTGCCTCTTGATTTATACTTCTGAAACTCGTTGGTCTGCCCTTCGCCATCGGCCCATGGTGCTCACAGTCCCATGTGGTACTTGCTGAACCGGACTGGGACTGACTGGACCTTACCGCTGACTGAGTGGGGACTCATTGCTAACCTACGGAGGTCGTACTGCAATTGCACTGCAGTTAGTCCACCACTTGACTCACCACTTGCCCACTTGCCCACTTGCTGACCTTCTAGAAGGGCTACAACTAAGACTTCTATTCTACAGGTCTACAGATCGAACCCCTGCTACCTACGGACCTATGACAGCCTACCAACTGTTTACAAATACACAGGTCACAGGTTCAACTCTCGGGGYCTACACAGGTAYTGYACASAGGTAGGGCAAGGTCTRGGGATCGAACCCTAGGATCTGCGTCTGCTACTGCAAAGAGGTGAAAACCGTTTCACTCCCGCCGTCCTAAATTCGAGGTCCTCCGAGAATATTTCAGTCCAAGGCAGGACCTTTACCCTTCTTATCGCGCTCATAGGCTCTGACTATGTTGGGAGTTGTTTCTAAAAGTTTTGTTCTAGTGAACCAGCGGTCGTCTTCCGGCTCCTGATAAGCAAACCGGACCTTATACTGTTTCTGTGGACGACCTCTACCTCCTGTCCTGAACACATCTTCATCTACAATGTCGTCAATGTCATATCTTCCATCCATATCCGGCGGGATCATGGATCTTCTTGAGGGGAAGTGTGGACTTGTGACACATGGCAACAACTTTGAGGCATGGAATACAGGATAAGTGTGGAGGTGTGTTGGAATCTCTATTGTGTAGGACGGCCCATCCTCTCCACCCTTGACTTCTAGAACCGACCACGGTCCTCTATATGCAGGTAGTAACTTCTGCGAGATGTGCTCCTCAGGTGCAAACTCTTTAGACTTGACCCAGACTAAGTCGCCTACCTGGAACTGCGAGGGGCGACGGTGCTTATTAGCCTGTTCTATCATTCTGTGCTGGGCCTTCCCGATGTTTTCAACAACGGTAGCTAATTCTTTCTCGTGTTGTATCGCAAACTCCCTGGTACCGGGCGGTAACCTGTGAACCTGATCCCGATTCAGTCCTTCGAATGGTCTACGCGGTCTAAAGGACTTCTGCAGCTCATTGGGAGTGCAACAGGTGGACAGATGCACGTTGTTATTGTATGCGCTAGCTACATTAGGTAACATCTCGTCCCAATTGATCTGGTCGGGTCTAATGTACATGCGTAGAACTTGCTGTAGGATCTTGTTCATTTGCTCGGTCTGACCGTTGGTCTTTGGGTGGCGGCCAGACGACATCAACAACTTAGATCCGTAAACTCCCATGAGTTCTTGCCAGTTCTGGCTGGTGAAACGACTATCCCTATCGCTAACTATTGACAACGGGACTCCATTCTCACTAACCTAAAAGTCAAAGAACTTTCGTATAACTAAATCCGTACGGGCCTCTGCAGGCAAGGGAACAAAAACAACATACTTGCTAAATCGGTCAACTATGACCATGACTTGACTCTGGCCGTGTCTAGTCTTGACACCGAGATCCATAAAATCAATGGAGACTAAGTCTCCCGGCTGGTATGGAATAGGCAAGGGTCTGAGAAGACCTAGAGGGGGGCGCCTAGTGGTCTTGTTTCGCTGGCAAACTTTGCAACTGCGAACATACTCTATACAATCAGATTTCATCCCTGGCCAGGTATACGCACGCATGAGATTGGCTAAAGTCTTCTGCCAACCGAAGTGTCCCTCTGTATCATGCCATTCCCCTAGGATTAGACTACGGATCTCCTCACTGTTGGGGATGCACAGGCGGTCTACTATATTAGTCTTGTCAAACAATAGTCCCTCAGTAGTGTGGTAGTCTGGTTCGGTCTCTGGGGCCTCCTTAACTCTCTTGAGAAGCTCACTATAGATAGGGTCCTGCGCATACGCTTGTCTGACTTTCTCTTGCAAGTCCTTCCCTATATCCAGATAATGTACTATAGCTCCAAAGTAGTCTGATCTCCTACTTAGAGCATCCGCAACTACATTGTGCTTGCCTTTGACCGGTTTGAGCTCAAAGTCATACTGGTCTATCTCAGCGGCCCACCTAATTAACTTAGGTGTCATCTTGGCCTGGTCTTTAACCATCTAAGAGTTTCGTGGTCTGAGTATACTTTGAAGTGCCTCCCAAGCAGATAATGCTTCCAGTGCTCTAAAGCCTGCCTGAGAGCGTAGAGTTCCCTCTCGTACGTCGAGGTGGCAACCTTCTCTGAGGGCATCCTCGCTGACATGAACTCTACGGGTCTGTAGCCATTGTCGTCATTCTGCTGTAACACGGCGTCTATACCATACTGACTTGCGTCCGTGGTAACGACAAATGGAAAAGACGGATCAGCTGCTTTGATGATAGGGTACTCTATCAATGCGCGCTTTAACTTCTTTAGCGCAGACGTACAGTCTTTGTCTCATTGCCAGATTGCCTCTTTCTTTAGCAACCTGCGCAAGGGAGCGGCGATAGTAGAGAAGTTCCTCATGAACTTCCTATAGTAGTTAGCTAGGCCTAAGAACGACCGCAACTCTATCAATGTGCGGGGCATTGGCCAGTCTCTAATTGCCGCTATCTTGTTGTCCTCTGGCTTAATACCAACTCCGTCTAACACGTGGCCCAAGTATAGGACTTGTGTCTTGGCCCACTCGCACTTCTTCGCGTTAATCTTGAAGTTAGCTTCTCTCAGCTTCTCCAAGACTTGCCTCAAATGACCCTGGTGCTCTTGGAGGGTCCTGCTGAAAACTAATATATCGTCTAGATAAACTACGACAAACTTGTCTAACCATGGTCTGGACAGATCATTCATACAACGCTGAAAGGTGGCTGGCGCGTTGGTTAGTCCAAAGGGCATCACTATGAACTCATAATGCCCGTATCTAGTCCGGAACACAGTCTTGTACTGGTCATCAGGATGGACCTCTATCTGATGATATCTGGACTTCAAATCTATCTTAGAGAAATACTTACAACCCTGCACCCAATCTAGAAGATCGTCTATCCGGGGCAGCGGTTCAGCATTCTTCACAGTAATCGCATTCAAACCCCTATAGTCTATACACATACGAAGCTCTCCTTCCTTCTTGGGGACAAACAGGACTGGTGCTCCAAAAGGAGACAAACTGGGTCTGATCCAACCTTTCGCGAGGAGCTCGTCTAACTGCTTGTGTAGCTCCTCTAACTCTCTAGGGGTCATCATGTAGACTGCTCCCTTAGGAGTCCTACTGCCAGACTCTATCTCTATCCTGTGCTGGATGGGTCGCGACACTACTCCTGTCGGCGACTCAATCAAGTCTTTGAATTCCTCCAGCAGCTTGGCAATGGTTGGGTCTGTGGAACTATCTCCTTCCTCAGCCTTAGTGGCATGCCTCACATACACTACGAAGACCTGATCCTCTAACTGCTCCTTTTTCACTAGTCGCGCGAACGCGGGAGCAGTGAGACAGCAATGTGCCAAGGTGTTATCTACACCTGACGCATGAAACAGGCAGGCAGTCTTAACCTCGCCTGACGGACTAGGAAGCCTACACTCATGCTCTCTTAAGTGGAGTGTGGCCCCTGCTGCCTCTCCCCAATCCATTCCTAACACTATGTCGAAAGGAAGGTCATCCTGAACGAGGAGAGTCAGGGAATGGAGAACTTTCTCCACCTTCCCATCTTTCTCTAGGCGAAAGTATGCCTGGACTCCCTCTACGTAGTCCTCAACTCGCATCGTGCGGTTGTCTGCGAGGACACTAACTATGGGGTCTGCCAACTTTTGGATTTTTAATCCTAGCTTCAACTTCTTCAACGCCCTACGGCTAATGTAACTGCAGGTAGCCCCTGAGTCTATAAGGACCCCTACTCTGCCTCTAAACACTTCTACATCAACTAAGATTAGTTGTCCCTTACTCTCCTTCTTCATTTTGGCCCAGGCTGGCATCCTCGCCTTCAGCTCTTCTGCCACGCCTGTGAGGGACGTGCCTAGAGAGACGCTAACACAAGCAGTCTCTGGATAGCTAGCTAGGCACGGGCTTGCAACCTCTGCCATAGGCTCATGTGGTTTGGGAGTTTCCTGTGTGCGCGCGCTCGCTTCCCCTTATGGCCTTAAAGTAGGGGCAGTTGCGACCCCTACTGGCGGCTGCCTTTTGACTGCTGAGCAGCCCATCGGGCCTGTCTATACTGTGGACAAAATTTAATTACGTGGGCCGGGTCACCACAAAACACGCACTGAGCCAAGTTCATGCGTTCCTGCCATACGCGTTGGTCCAAGCCCAAGTCTTCCCAGGGCCTGCCATGTGGCAAGCCTGGGTGCCATCTCGTCACTGTGGGGACCGACAAGAACCCTGGCGATTTGGCGGGGGACGTTGACCCCTACCTCCCTCTTGGCGGTTCCCTGGTCCGCCAACCCCCTGTGCGCCCGGTCCTCGGGCTCCCATGGCCTGACCCCTTTGGCCCTGGACTCCTCCTCTACCTTGCGGCCTCCCTCCAGCCGCGACAGCCACATAAGACCTCCCCTGCCCTACGCTGTTGTCATCCTCCTCTAACCCCCACTCAATCTCACTGTAGGGGATCTCATCTGTACCATTCTCTTCTAACGTGAGGATCATATGATCCTTGGCCCTCACTTGGCCAAAGATGGTACGATCCTTCCACTTCTTTCCTTTGTCCAAGTCCTTGTGCCAGAAAGTGGACACTGGCATGGACTTTGACTCATACAGGACCACCTCTCTACTCAGCACATCATAGGTGATGTCACCCTATTGAGACTTCTCAAAGAAATGCCCACGCAGGGGCCCGGGCGTGGCACGATAAAACAATTGGACCAACTAGGGCTCAGTGACCGCGTGGTCTGGGACGACTACCAAGTCGTCCATAACGCCCTTGAGTGCTCTTGCACTCCTCCACTGTCGTGAGTGGATCGTCTGTAACTTATCAGAGGCTCTAACGCCTCTCGTTGGGTCAGCAAATCTCTCCCTCAGGACTTTGAAGAATTGAGGAAGAGTGATGATCTTGGAATATGCAACCATGTTGTTTTCACAACTGGCTGCGCGCGCAAGAGATCTGGCAAAACTGGCCGCTTCATCTTTAAGGGCCTGGAAGGCGACGAGGACTTGCTCCTCAGTCAGGATGTGCTGTAAGTACACATAGCTATTCACGCTGGCCTCCCAGTTATCAAAATTCTCCTCTTTCTTTCCCCCGTATGCATCTGGGAATTTAAGCTTAACGGGCTCCTTACGAGGCCTGACCTCACCCTCTACAGCGGCTATTGCTTTGGCACCTTCGATGGCACCCTCGCAAAACTTCCCCATGCTGTCTCTCAATTGCCTAACTTCGCCTCCAACATGGGTGACCATATCGCGCGCGAAATCTCTAAATCCTGACCGCATGGCACTCAGGGCCACATCCTGACCTTTATTGGCTTGGCGCTCCTCCATCCAGGCCGCACTCAACACTTCCAGATATCCCAACATCTTGTCCATTTTGGCAGAGATGTCTGGCTGCGCCTGGACCTCTTGTCGACAATCTCTCACTTTTGCCACGTCCTCGGTCAGCCTATTAACTTCATCCCTCCTTCTCTTCTTCTCCCTCTTCATCCTCAATTTCCATTCCAACTTCTTCTCTTCTTCCCTTTCTCGTCGTTCCAGAGGGTCCTCCATTGCTGCTAGCTCACTGGCTAACGCATCCCTCTCGTCCTGGGGCACATAAAATTCTTCCTCCTCATCTTCCCCCAACGATAAATTAGCAATCCACTCACTAATTTTCTTTTCCACCGCGGCGTCCTCATTCGCCGTGCCACTACTCTCTCCCTTCACTGCCCTGCGTTTCCTCTCCTCTTCTGCTTCTGCTGCCGGTTCTTCTTCAGCAACCTTCTTCTTCTTCTCCATCTCCTCCTCCAATTCCTTCATCTTCGCCGCCTGCTCCTCTGCGATTGCCTTTAGCTTCGCATGTTTCAGGAGCTCTTTCCTCTCCTTATTCTCTCTTACTAAGGCGGCCATCTTCTCTTGCTGTTCCTGGGTGTAGGGGCTAGTGCTCTTCCCACTAGGGGTCTCGACCATGGTGATAAGTGCACAACCGAATTGACGGTTCCAAACCTCACCACGTAGACTCTAAACCCTGACTGACAAACCTACCGACTCAATCTAAAGACTCACAGAATCCGGACAAGGATCCTGCCAACTAGGGTCTCTAGCCTAGACCTACACTATGGCTGTCACTACTAGACCTGTTGCTGATCAGGAGGCATTTAAGGAGATCCCCCGTAACTCCTCAGGAATTATTTAACGTCGCAAACAGGACGACGCGATCAGCAGGTCTCTCAACACTTAGACGGCTTGTTGTGCAGCCCACAGCTCGGATTTTAAGCCTACCGTGCCACACCGAGCAGCCCGCCAGTCAATACTGGTCCTTGGGAGGGTTAGGCCTCCGGGACAGTCGAGTCGTCAGACACAGTCTTTAGCCCTACTCAGCCCTTGTGGGTTTGGTCAACAAGGCCCTATCCTTCATCCACAGAATTCTATCACCTGGACAGAAGAGACTCAATGCAGAAAGAAGAGACAGACAGACTGGACTCAGCAAGTACCATAGGGGTGTGCACATCCATAGGGCGAGGGATAGGCTGAAGGCTTGGCGAGATTATACCGGCTCCAGCTTGGTCAACTCGTGGTCAACGGTCTTGGTCAACGCTGCAGTCAACCCCTGGTCACCTCCGGTCAACTCCCGGTCAACGCCGGTCAACCCTGGCCAACGCCTCCGGTCAACTCCCCGGCTATGGCGGCCGGCTTCCCCTTCGTTGCCACCCTTCACCTTCCTTCTCTTCACCTCGCCTCTTCCCTCTTCACCCTGACTGTCTTCTTTCTTCTTCTTCTTCTTTTTTTTTTTTTGATCGTCTCTCCTTCTTCCTCCTCAGCTATGGCTTCCCTTTCTTTCTCCGGTCTCTCCCTCTGTCCACTGTCTCTCCCTTCTTCGTTACTCCGTGGTCAAACTCCGTGGCTATGGCAGCAATCTTCTTCTTCGTGGGACTGCACAGCAACTTCACAGGTACATGACAACCAAAGTTGTATCGCTCAACTCTCTCTCTCTCTCTCTCTCTCTCTCTCTCTCTCTCTCTCTCTCTCTCTCTCTCTCTCTCTCTCTCTCTCTCTCTCTCTCT